CCCGCTGCTGAAACTGCCCAGCAGCGGCTGAATGGGAACACTTGGGGCAGAGCCAGACTATTGGAAGGGGGGGGCTATGAGAGGTCTGGGGTGGCATCTCCTCCCACCCCACTCCAGACCCCTCTTAGCCTCCCCTTCTGATTGTCCAGCATATCTGATAATCCGGCACCCTCTGGGTCCTAAAGGTGCCGGATTATCGGAAGTTTACTGTACTACTTTTGTTTCTTCAAGTTGCAGGGTGGCTTTGCCAATGAGGAATATAACAATGACTTTTTTCTAGCTGAAATTCAATATTGATGCCTTTTCAGAAAAAAAATGTATGACGCTCAGGTGTATGTGTCAGCAAATTCTATACTCTTTTAACAATAAATGACTTGCTGCTATGTGGGCCAATTGCCAAATGAGCGCTTTATTATTGTTTTTGTCTTGATCCTTTCAAAATTAGAAAGCATGGAATTTTACTTAGTGTTATCTTCATTTTTCTGTTTGAGATATTTGATTTTCATTGTTTTACACCAATTCATAATACTTGTTTCCATTTACTTTTTCCTAGCACAGGGTTGGGCAAAATATGGGCCGGATCCAACCTATGGTCCAGAGGGAGCCTCAGCTAAGCTCCCTGTCTGCATTGCCCCCACACGCTACTCATAAAAGCCAGCTGCGAAGCTATGTGCGATTGTGAACACCATGGCTGTGTCTGCATTGACACCCCTTCCCGGAAAAGGGATGCTAATGAGACCAGTCGGAATTGCAAATGCCGCGGGGGATTTAAATATCCCCCGCGGCATTTGCATGAACATGGCTGCCGCTTTTTTCCGGCTCGGGGTTTTGCCGGAGAAAAGCGCCAGTCTAGAAGGGATCTTGCGGAAAATAAGCCCTTTTCCGCAAGATCCCTTATCTTTCATATCAAGTATGAAAGTAGGAATAAGGGATCTTGTGGAAAAGGGCTTATTTTCCGCAAGATCCCTTCTAGACTGGCGCTTTTCTCCGGCAAAACCCCGAGCCGGAAAAAAGCGGCAGCCATGTTCATGCAAATGCCGCGGGGGATATTTAAATCCCCCGCGGCATTTGCAATTCCGACTGGTCTCATTAGCATCCCTTTTCCGGAAAGGGGTGCCAATGTAGACACAGCCCATGAGTCCAGAGGGGAGGAGAAGGAGAGGCTTTGCATGCTGCTCTTGCCCCCAGCACAATCTTGTAGCTCCCATTGGAGGGGGGCAGGCAGAAGCCGGTACACGCAGAGAGCTGACTTAAGCTGGCAACGCAAATTACCCCTCCCCACTTCTCCTTAGGCTTGCAGCATATATAGCCCCTGCAGCTGGCTGCTCTGAGCGGCATGTGGGGGTATGGAAGGCAGGGAGCATGGCTGAACAACCAGCTGGGCTGCGTCACTCAGTTAACGTGTCCCAGCCCAGCCTCTTCCTTTCCCTCCCCCTGTGGTCCCCTGCCCAATTCCCTGCCCCAGGTTACAACCCAAACCCCTGTACCCTCTAGGGATGCAATAATGTAACTGTTCACATGGTTGACTGATATGTATGAGCTTATTGTTTACCATAAGTTACATGCTGGCTCCTGGTGCTGCTCTTTGGAAGCCGGCTACAGTCCTGCACAGGTGGGTCTGTATTAGGGAAATTAAAATGTGGTGTTTTTTTGTAAATGTGTAACTGCTGAAAATTTCAGTATTTACACGCATGGGGAGAGGCGGCTCTGTTGGAGCTTCATCTGCCCTCCCCCACTGCTGCCTCTGTAACAGAGGCAGCAGCATGGGCTGGGGCAGGTGGCTCTGCGGGAGCCACTGTGCATGGTGAGCCAGCTTAAGTCAGCTCGCCACGTGTACTGACTTCTATGTGGCCCCCTCCACTGTTGCGGCTGCTGCCTCTGAAGCGGGGGAGAAGGGGGAAGGGAAGGGTGAGAGGGCTTGCATGTAACTGTGAAGGTTACCCAATGAGTGCCTAGGCTCATCATATAACCCTTTAAAGTGTTTAAAGTATCACATACCTGCTCGATATCCGAGCCTCCAGCACTGGGTGGCAGCCAACACCACAGGAGTGGGGATGAGATCCAGTAGGAACTGGGAGCTCTAGCTTCTGGGGAGCTGGCAGCGCTGCGGACTCATCAGCATAAGCTTTAAACTGCAGAGCCTGCAGCTTGTAGCTGTTAAGATTTTTAACAGTTACACGGTTATCTAATTAACCTCTTTTTATCGTCCCTAATAATCTTTCCAGCATCCCCAGTCTTCTGCCCTAGGTCACAGCTGTCTCCTTCACCCAAACTTCCTCCCAGATCCCCAACCCCTTCATGTATCCCAATCTCTTACCACAAACTCCCTTTTGCACTCAACCACAATCCCAAACCCCGCACATGCTTCATTAATATAATGGAAGAGAGTGGCCCTTGTCCACTTTCCAAATTCTTGGAGTGGGCCACCATCAAAAATTATTGCCCACCTTTGTCCTAGTATATTAGGCAAGAGAACCAATCCCCTGATGAAATTTGGTGCTCTTCTTGTGTTACTCACCTCATGTTTTAGGAAGCTCATTTAAAAAAAAAATCTTCCCAAATCTTAATCTTTGAAACTCTAGTGTAGGCTTAGATTGTTTCAGAACCAGTTGTTTTTTTGTGACGACACGGCCTGGAACGGTATACCATCACACATTTTCCCAGCACACAGAAAAGGAATGGCATTTCCTCCATGTGTACCAGCACCTGTTTTCCTGGGGAGGCTCAGCTCCTGACAGACGCCTGCTCGGGACATGCAGCGGTTTGTTTGGGTTTTTTTGGCTCCCTGAGCAGTGTTTTGTCTCTTAAAGGAGCCGCAACTGCATTTTGGCTCCGTGCGCCGCTTTTCCCCCCCCCTCTTTTTCTCAACAACTCTGCCCCAGAATACCGGCACCTTTTTTCTTACAAAAAAACAAAAAACCTACTATTCAGAACTATAACTATCCATTGAGTTTGTGTGTATGTGTATTTTTGAAAAGTTAGCCTACTAGGCCATTCTGCTTTACTTTCAGCTTTCTTAACATTTGAAACGTCGTAATACTTCTGTCTTGTACATAAGGCATGACTCTGGAAACCAAATTAAACTGTCCTAATTTGGGAATGAGTTTGTAAAAAGTACCCATATGAGGATTCTCCAAGAAGCAAGTTAAGGCAGCATTAAATTTTCAAAGACAATGGTTTGGTCTGAGTTAATATGTGATGGGTGAAGAGCTGATGTTAGCAAATGTTCTGGGTTATGTGTTTGGCATCTGTAGCCTGTTTTCAGAATTCCTTTGATACATATCCCACATTCCTCAGTAGCCTGAATTTGCCACAACCAGTTATAGCTGGGATATGCTTTCTAGGTTGTCAAAGGCAATGTATATTTGAAAAGATCTAGCCAGAACATCTTAGCTGTGACTTGATTGGATACTTAGATAGTTTTATACTAATTGAGGACCTGCCTCTTGGTATCTGGCTGCCCTGGGTCATTCTGTGAAGCAGTGCATGCGCAGATGGGTCAGTATTTAGCATTGTGATGTATGGCAGTTGGGAGGAGGAGAATGCCTAGACAGGTGCCTAGAATGAAGGACATAAACAATCATTCATATAAGAAATTAAAGAGTCTGTGAGTGTTTTTTTCCTGTGGTTTAAAGGTGTGCAATTCTGTGTGTAAGTATAGTCTATGATGTGGGTTATAAATTCAGTACTGTATTCACCTCAAAATGCACAGTGAAATGCCCTCCAATATCTAGAGGCTTACACAGAAAATATGCTTAGTTCCTACATGATGGTAATAGATATTTGATGACTGCCATCTTGTCATATTCAGCATTAGTTAATGAGAATCTGCTCCTCTTTGTCACCTTCATCTTTGTCCCCTCATGTTTTCCATCATCTTTTTTTTCCGCTCTGTGTTCCCTGTCTTTGTGAATCTCTTTTTTTCCCTTATGCTGATTCTCCTCTTTGTTCCTTTATGAAATACAATGTACTTCACTCTGACCACCTACCTTGGTTCATCCACTAATGCATCTAATCAATGCCAATATTATTTATTTAAAGATGTCATGACAGGAATTTAAAGTTGATGCTCCAATCAGTTAAATAGATGATAGTGGTGTTTGCCTTCTTTTTTTCAGATTGTCTGCATATTCTGGCAGATGTCGCTGAATTGGTTACGTTGTTTACTTTTGGAGAGTTATCACTGCTGCTGTGAGACCTAGAAACTTATTACTTTACAAAAAATGAAAAACACTAAAGACATCTAAACATCTGTAAGTGTACTAGTCTGGTAAGCAGAAGCAGAAATGCTCATAGGTTGGTTTTTAGCACCCCCCCCCCTTCACTTAGTGAAGGCCAGTCAGCAACTTTTTTATATGAGATAGCATATTAGTATATTTTTTAAATGGAGAAGAAAAAATCATTTGTCTAATTTGGCCCTAGGTGACTTGCTTAGTTCACCTTTATGGTTGGACTGACCGTATTTGGTATGTCCACATCCCTTCAGATTTTAATTTAAACCCATGGCTAGTTCTCACCTCCTCCCCCTCACCAATATCCAAAGCAACTATTAGTAAAATATTAAGAACATGCTGCTTATTTTGATGACTGCCCAGTGTTGTGTCACAGTTCACTTCAGAAATGATTGTCCTATCTATAGATAAACACATACATTGTTTTTTTCTGTATTTTTTTTAGGTCCAGTAACACTTGCCCAGATTTGGGAATTCAGGAGTTAACTGCCTACAGTCATTTCTGGTTTCATGTACTTTGCCCTAGTGTTGTACAATCTGGAGCCTCCTAGCTACAAAAATTGACTGCTATGCCACATTTTAGCTGCAGTTCCCCTAGAATTGCTTGACTGTGGGGTATAAATTGGAACACACTTAAACAGAGCATACAACAGTGGGGTACAACATAGATTTTTAATTTATAAGGCTACCTGGGAGCCTGTTGAAAGCTAGGTGGTTTAAGTGGGAAAGCATCCTTTTTTTGTTTGAGGAGTCCCTCTTAGTTTTCATTCTGTAGCTGATCTTCAGAAGGACACCCTCTTTCCTTAGTAGCATAGTTGTGAGACTCAAGCAGCTCTTCGTTCAAGACTGAGAGAAAATTTTGGTTAAAGAAGGGAAGGCTTGCTAAAAGGTAGAGAGAAGCTGCAGATTATTTGAGCTCCAGTGCCTATTCCTGAGAGAATGGACTTCCTTCCTCCCCCCTCCCCACAAGAGTATCTGGTAGGGTTGCACTTTCATCCCTTAAGCTATTCTGCTCTTCCTCCTGAGACCCTCAGCTGCCAACCAATTCCTTCTGACTGCCCAATGGGAGAATCAGAACAGTTCAGGGTCCCTACTTTTAAGTAGTTATAGATTAGGGTAGGTAGGTAAAAACTATAAGCATTTAGGTTTTGCATATATACCTTTGTTTCTTTTGGCCTGTTGACGTGAAAAAGAAGAGACAGGGTAGATTACTTATAAGTAGTCAGTAACTCACTGGGCTGTGATATACCTCAGACTCATGTCTCTAGCTCATCTCATCTGACAAAGTGGGTTTTGCCTATGAAAACTCATGATACTCGATCGATCGTGCCACAGGACTACTCACTGTTTTCTCAGCTTTAGATCATGTCTACTGTAGAAGAGTGTTCCCTTTATAAGACAGATATGACTGTTTATCCTGGAACAGTCATTTGACAGTGAAGTATGTGATTTACAAAGCTTTTTAAAAAGTGCACAGAAGTTTAAAGAATCAAGACAAATTATTTCTCATGGAAAAGACCTTGAGAGCAACTTTAGACACACATTTTTGAGGCAATGGGAGACTTCTGTCCCTTGCCTTCCATGTCTCCAGTGCTCCAGAGATGAGGGAGATTGTATTAAGAGACCTCATAAATCACAAAAGAGTCTGCTGCAACCGATCTGAGATCTCAATAGAGCAGTCAGAAATTAGAAAGACAGTCTACCCAGTACCGATCAATATTGGCGGCACTGGTTAAGAAGTCAGTTAAGTGGATTCTGAAGCAATCTTTATAATTGGGAAGCATGTCTCTCACTGAGAACCCTTGTAAATTTTACAGCAGCAGTCTCTCATCTAGTGCCCTTGTTAATTTCTATTGCTGTTTCTGGCTGCAGCATTAGGAACACTTGGTGATTCATTGGTACTAGTGTTTGCAGCCTGCCTTTCGATGCCTCACAAAGCAAGCCATCAACCATGGCAGCTGAGCAATGGGAACATCATATTTTAACTAATTGCTCAGCATCAGGGGATTCAGTACCAAACATCTCACTTCTTCAGAATAATTTTGCTACTTTCTTGGTATTGTCATCTAGGGCTGTAATTATATCATCTCAGGGCTACTCTAGAACATGAGTCTCTATTCTGCAGATCCTCCTACTTTTTTCTCATCAAATTTTGTACAAGAAGACATGATACCTATAACTAAAATTGCTACGCAACTTCCTGCTCTCAGATTATGGTCTTGTCCACTCCTAATTAAGTTATTGTACCTCCTAAGAGAGTTCAGCTGTTGGAATTTCTCTTTTTCTTCAATTGGGTCTAGTTGGGAGCCTTCTTCAATACCTAATAAGAGATTCAAGAAGCATAAAAATTCATCTTAAAAAACTACTCAAGGTGAGAATTTACCATGTGATTCTCTGTTGCCTCAATAGACGGTAATACCTTTGAATGCTATGTTCTATCTGTATGAATATCAGTCCTCACCAATTTGGCACATTCCAAATCACAATCTTGGTCAAATATGGTTATATTCAGTGGTACAGAATGATGAGTTTTTCAAAATAACTCTTTTCTCACTTGAGAGCAGAGTTTTATTTGTTCTCTGAAGAACCTCTGAAGAGTCTGGTCCATGACTTAATCTATTGAAGGTCAGGATCGGTTTAGCTTCAGAACAGATACTTTACAGTCTTTAAAGGATTCATGAGCCACCTACCCTTAAGAAATTTGGGTCTCACTATAGCTTTTTATCTTTAAAGCTAGAGACATTAAACTTTCACTAAACAGAGATGTCCATCTTAGACTTCTGGCTCCTTCTCCCATCGGAGATCCTCCTGTTGAGCAGAGTTGGCAGAGACCAAGACTCCTTAGAAAGAACTCTTCAAACGTACCCATTAGCCTTCCTCTTCTCCTTCCACAATCCTGATGTTCTTCCCCCTCCCCCTGCCCCCATGAAGGCTTGGTTTGGAATAATTACAGAGTAATGGATTGTTCAGATCATTCAGGATCATTGTGTCATGTCATACAGTTCCAGACCATTTCTCTTTCCTGCATTGCTTCCTAGACTTTTAAGGGTCATTCCCATGAGGCTGAACATAATAACAGAAATTTGAAGTTACATTGGGGTATAATTCCTCCATGGTTCATGGGGAGAGGATTTCCTGATTGTTTCTAGCCTTCGTTTTTCACAGTTTCTCTACTTCAGGTCACTCATTTCAACTAATTTCACCTGATAACCAATGTTTCCTCTAAATACATATGTGGAATTTTTCCATCCATGTGCAGATTACATTTTTATGTGCACCAAAGCACATTGAATGTGTACCACCAGTTAAAACAAAAAAACTCAGAGGTAGACACTTTGCTAATCAGCTGGATGGCATTTGTCCTGCTCCTGAGTAGTCGGACAAATACATACCTTAAAGGAAACACTGATGATAGATTTTGTGGACTGATTCTGTACATTTGACAAGAAAGATGAATATTTTCATATGTATATTCACTGAGCAGTAAGGAAGTTTTCTTCATCTTGTCTCAGTAGGTAAAGAAGTGCTCCCATTCAGTCTGTCCAAGGAGCTCTGAGTCTGCATGAAATGTCTGTTAGTGTTGCTATTTGTCATCGGAGTATTCATGTATGTCCTTATCTTGACAACTGGTTGGTGTGGGAAACTTTGGTAACTCAAGTCACAAACTCAGTTCAGGTAGTCCTAAATCTTTTCTCCAGGTTGGGACTAATTGTCAATTTAAAGAAATCAAATCTAGTTCTGTCCTAGACTATCAAATTTATAGTACATTTTCTGGACTCCAAAACAGCAGGAGCCTTTCTCCTGCATCTGCCGCTTAATTTCAGATGTGAATACTCATCCTTGAAATTTGGTGAATCTTTCTATAAGTGTTAGGCCACTAGACCTTGGGAGGTCAAACACCTAACCCGACCAGCAGGTAGAGGATAGAATGACACTCAAAAGTGAGTGTGCTGCTGTACCCATCTTTATACCCATGGGGTCACGTATTTCTCTTTCTTATCTGTGATGCCAAATGGTGCTGGTCTGTCTTTTGTGAGACCAGTTCTTACAAGGGAGTTGTGAACTTAATTTACACTTGTAAGAGAGATAACTAAATTGGAAGTACTGGGCATTCTTTTCTCAGTGGGAAATTCCTCTCCCAGAGACTGTGTGTTCGTATCAACATGGGTGCCAGCCGGGTACTTCTCGCAGCCTCGAGACCAGCTTATTGCCTTAATCGTTCTCTCCTCATATCTATGTTTTCAGCTTCTCAGGATCAGATGAGCCAGCATAGACTATGCTGATTTTATTGCTCCTTCTCTGTCCTGTATGCTTCAGGAACCTCAAAGAGGCAAATAAGATGGATGAGACGGGGGAGGGGGGGGGCGCGGCGCGGTCTGTCTGGCTACAGGCTCTGACACTGAAGGTCTGTCTCTCAGTACAGCTTGCTCTTCTTGCTGCTCTGAGCGCTCTCTCCTTTTCTCAGAGAGACCCAGAAAATCCCAGCTCACATGGAGGATGGGACCTGGCCTCCTAATTTCCTCATTGGCCTGTCCAACCTGTCAATCAGGCTGAGCTAGAGTGTTGGCTTCTTTCCATTGTCCCTGTGGTCTGTCAGTCTCAGGGCCCTGATTTGTCATGGACCCTTCCCCTTTTGGTACTGGGAGCTGGCCAATCAAAAACTCCCACTGAGTTTTAGTAAGGGGCTAAGAGTCCCCTTACACACTGTACTGAAAAGTTGGCAGACCACTATAGCCTTACAAATGACTTTGGATGACATTATGCACGCAATATGCAAAAACATGTCGCTGTATCAGTTGAGAGTAGGGAAGTGAAGGGTTAACCAGTAAGCCTCATCCTTAACAGAGGCCTAACAGGTGAGGCTAATGTTAAAGTAAACTGGTGGGGCTGTAGCAACTCCCTGCCTGCCATGTGCCGGGGGCCCCGTGGACGGGCCTGCTATAGCAGGCTACAAGGGGAGAGGGGAAGAGATGGGCATTCCAGCCCAGTGGGTGGGATGGCCGCTTCATCGAGGTTGGAGCAGCCCCTTCCTTCTCCC